CACACACACACATATACACACACAGACACACACAATACACTACCATTCAACATTTTTGAAATACTTTTTAAAAATACTTTTATACTAAATTCCTTAAAAGTGACAATGACATTTATAATGTTACAAAAGATTCTATTTAACAAAGAATCCTGAACTAAAATGTATCATGGTTTCCACAAAAATTTGAAGCAGCAAAAACTGTTTTCAACATTGATAATAATTAAGAACCATTATTAATAACTGAGCATCAAAAATAATTATTATATATTAGAATGATTTCTGAAGGATCAGGAGTAAGGATACTGAAAATTCAGCTTTGCATCACAGTAATAAATTACATTTATTCATGAATTACATTTATATTTGTGTGTGTTTGTTAGTCTGACATGCTGCGCTCTCTGGCGACCACACGCCCCACCGTCAACACAGAAGACCTGCTGAAGGTGAGGAAGTTCACAGAGGATTTTGGACAGGAGGGCTGAACCACGACACTCCATTAAATCCCAACATCCATTCGTATGTAGCTGTCCCATCTCAACCAGGACTATCTCCTCTAACTAACCCGCAGCCTGACGGCCAGGAGCATGTAGTCTATTCTAACCTCTCTAATCGCCCAACACTACAGAACATCACATTCATCAGTTTGGAAAGACGAAAGCGCAAGAGAGAGCATGAAGCTTGCTGTAAATTGTTTTGTGTTTACATTTACATAATCAAATTGATTGATGTATTCATTTTATGAAGTTTTTTGTCTGTCTGCCCTTAATTCTGAACCGGCTATGAACAATACAGCTCTCAGCAAAGATTTATGTTAATTTATTTTATTTAATTTAGTTGTTTTGAGTGCAGATCACTTTGAGCTTTAAAAGTATCTTTTGTGTCCAGCTTAGTATTGCAGCACTTTACTGAATAAACGTGGTCTGGGTGAATCTCTCAAAGACACGTCTGGGTCACATTTCACCCCAGAATTAAACAGGAAAAAAAATAAATTGTATTCAGATAGAAATTGAAGCCTGTTTGGACAATTATTAATGCTGATTATTTTTTTTATCTCTACATATAGTAATTGAGATTTGCTTCATGATGCAGTGTCACAATGCAAAAAATAGGCTTGATGTTCTTTAATCATATTTTGGGTATTTGGGTTAAGAAAATCAAGTCTGTTTTACGACTTTTCTGATTTTTTGCAGTGATACAATGTTTTCAGTGTATCTTCCTTTGCCTGTGGGCTGAAATATGACCTGGCCATGTGTTTGACAAGCTAACCCATCAACATTTCACTTATTTAAAAACCGATCAAGCAGATTTGTTGTAATGAAGTGTGTTACAGACCATTAGCTGTCATTCATTCTGAAGAATAACATGTTGACCTGATCTGATAAAAAATGACTTTTAAAAGAATTTGTGCTTTGTTCAGCTGTATTTACTTCGGCCTATCCTGTCTGCTTAAAATGGATAAACTTCTGAAAATAGTTCTGTAACATTAACAATTGAATCCAAGGATAATATTCTTGCTGTGAACATGCTGTGTTTCCAGAAAAAAAGTTGCCTTTTCATTTGAGAAGGGGAACATACAGTGTTTCTTTACAATGGAAAATGCTGTGAAGTAAATGTACAAGAATTAAACATGATGTACCTATCCAGGTATTAATCTTATGTGTCAACCAATTCAAATATCTCACAAAATCAGCTCAATATCTTGCGAAGTTTTTTTCTTTTTTTTAAATAGAAAGCATTGTTTTGAGATTCAAAAATCAATGAGGGATCTGAAAGCGGGCATTCCCTCACTTTCTGCTGAGTAAAATGAGGAAAACTCATTACTTGTTTCTCTTTATCTAAAAAAAAATAAATCAATAGAGGATGACTATATTTAAAGTACCCAATTATTTTGAGAATAAAGCTGTCCAGATAGGCGCCGTCCTCATCAAGATACTTTTCAAATAATACTTTTTCAAGCTCATTCTAGGCCATTTGTTTGTCTCTCTTAAAGGGGTCATATGATTCTTTAGGGTCTTAATGAAAAGTCTGTAACATAGTTTGGTTAAAATTTCACAACGGTAGTGTAAAAAACACCCTTTTTACCCTGTCAAAAACAGCTCTTTTCAGAGCAAGCAGTTTTGTGGCATTTTCCTTTAAATGTTAATGAGCTCTGCTGACCCCACCCCTCTCTTCCGAGCCGCTCTCTGAGGGATTGTTTATTTTAGTGAAACTGGCTAATTAACACATTATTAGGAAAGGTGATTTGCAAAGATTCATTACAAAACATTATACTCACTTATTCTGTAGATGAGGCTGGATCATGAGTGATTCGCGTGAACATAGACATTTATGTAGATCGGGGATGCATGTCAGGAGTAAATGAGACTGCTATGTTCATTATTACATCCAACAACAGAACACCTCAATCGCTTAGGAGTCATTCTTGTCTACATCTGCTCCAGCGGTGAAACAATAGCGGACTGATGACCGCTCACTCAGGGCGGGTCTGAGGTAAGACACCAGTCCAGTCTGTGCTGAAACGCAACTGTCAATCAAACTATCGTGGGAGGGCCACACAGACAGGCATCTGAGATCGGCTCGATTTGAGAAAGGGGAAAACATTTAACCAGATTAAAAAAATAACACTTGGTGGATTTTTTTTTATCATTTTAGGGTGGTTGTGTACACACACTGCCAACACACATTTCAGTTCAAACAACTTGTAAAAGTGCTATGACCCCTTTAACATCAGGAAAATCTGAGGATCATAACATTTCACCTCTGGGGTGCTATAACTGAAGGAGCGGAAATTCTAATTGCCTTCTCAGCAGAAAAAATAAACAAAAAACAACTGCCAACAGCCCATTAATAATTCAAGTAATTTTGATGATCTGACAAGTCAGCTACAGATACAGTCTTGCAAAGGAACTTCTGATTCACAGATCAACAAAACATACTAAACAGATCAACCCCACAACTGACACAGCAAAGGTGACATTTTTATATAAATGAATCACGTGCCAATGCATTCAGAACAGAAAGCTTTTTTTAATCTTTGTACAAAAACAGCAGCATCATTCAAGTACAACTCACCTAAGTAGGATATATTTGTATTATTTACAATGTATCTCATGTCTGTAAGTCTGAACCTTAATGTAATTTGCACAATATCTTTCAGAAGAAATAACAGAAATTTCCATTTGGAAAGTAGAACACGTCTGTGATGCCATCGGTGACGAGCGTCACTCATCAGGCAGCAGAACGTCAGACTTTGCTTCTTTTGGACTGGTTTTCCATCACAGAGCCTCCTCGTTTGTTTCTGTGATGAGGAAACGTGGGCATCAGATCTGGTTCACACGCTGCAGGGAGAAACACGAGAAAAAGTCAGCAAATCTGCCTAAAATATAGAGATCTCAATGTAGAACTAAGAAATGAATATAAGCCTGTGCTTACGCAAGGGCTTTTCCTTGAAGTAGGAACTTTCTAAACAATCTTTAGCTGTAGCTCTGTAAGACACATAGCATGTATTCATTAAATAGCATTATTACACTGCACCAGTGCATGATGTATTTTACAAAGAGATTTATATTTAAGAATTTGTACCATAAAAGGGTATTTCATCTACGGTTTAATTAGATTCAAGCTATTTACTGTAACTCTTAACATGAAAAAAACAAATAAATAAGGCTTCCCCACTATTTTTCTACATGCACTTTGTTTTACCGGCGCTGTGGGTTGTACATGAACAGCAGGTTAAGCAGTCTCAAACCAGCTTCTGATAACCAGGTGAACTTGTTCTTTAGGTTGTTGTAGGGCTGCTTCCTCAGACTGTACTGCCCAACCAACGGCAGGCGCGAGAAGCCCTACAATTCACAAGAAACTCCTTGAGTGGTTAACCTGTAGTAGTATCACCACTCATCATTCTCTTACATCTAAACACAGGATACAAGAAAACATATTTCACTTAAGCGTCTCATACTGAAGCTGAACTCAGTACCGGCCAGATGCTCTCATTAGGTGTTCCTAACAGCTGTACGATCAAATCCACCTGCTGGATCTCTGAGGCTCCAGGCAGAAGAGGTTTATGGGCAAGAAGCTCAGCAAAGATGCAGCCGACGGCCCTGCAACAGGAGAACATGAACATCTGTTCGTGAAGAACACGCAGCACACCGCTGGTCAAGACTACAAGAGCTCCTACAGATGCTTTTGTGATATCAATGGCACACTGAACCTATGCGTAACAACAGACAGATGTCATGACAGAGGTTCTGCAACTTAAAGCATCAACTATTTTTGCAGTGCAACCTCTGCTAACTTTAGTGTCTCACTCTCTACAAAAGTGATGATAACGTTATTTTTTGTTTTGATAGAAAGGCCTCTCTCTCGCTTTCACACACAGGCCCTGTTCTCGGTGTGATCTGATCACAAGTGGCCAGACAAGACTGTTTACAAGTGTAACATGACTCAGATGTGTCTCCTGTGACTTTATATAATCAAAATTCAAGGGGATTTGTGTTGATAAAGCATAAAAAATGAAGTGGTTTCTGCCAAATATATATAAATCTGAACAAATCTTAAATGCAGTTTTAAGCATTATTCCCACTTGCATTCGGACATCTCCAAATTGATACAGAATGTTTTGGATCCCATCAACACTTGTATTTAGTGCTGCTGACAACTTGCGATCAGATCACCTCAGACAGACCTTCATACAACATGTCCCACACTGAACCTGCATATGTAACAGTATATAGCACAGAAATACATATTCACATCATGAACAAAACAAACTGCCTAAGAACTACCCTCTGCAAAAAATCACTCAATCACATGCTTTAAAGCAAGATGACCCATCTGATTATACAAATTTCATTAGCTTTATTACAGTGATATAGTGAGATACAAGTATATGCATAACTATAGTATAGTATATGGAGGTGCACTATTTTAATAACAGAATGCATAATTCGTCTTTTAGTTCCTGCACACTCTTTCAACAGCGCTGGTTCTGGAAATATTATTTTTCCTCCATTCTTTTTTCCCCATAGGGATTTAAAAAAACTTTGTTAAAAGCATTATAAGCCAAACCAACTGCTTAAAGGTGGGGTATGTTTTTAAAAAACGCTTTAAAAAACTGAGTTGGGCCGAGTACCAAAACAAACTTGTAGCCAATCAGCAGTAAGGAGCTCATGATGTGGAGGAGAGAGCGTTCAGTGCACAGGACGGACATTAGCGAGCCGAGCGACAGAAAGATAGAGATGGTGGATAAAAAAACAAAAGAGGAAAACGTCTGCGGAACAAAAGAAGGCAATAAGGCAAGAAGTCGGACCTGTGTAAATATCGGATCAGCTTTCCAGCGCTGGAGAGAACTCAAGGAGCGGAAGGCCTGCGATCGGACGCTGAGGTTGCTTTGTTCCTTCTCGATAGGTGAGTAACACCGTGTCTGCGCCGCAACAGCTAAAGTCTGTCTAGTACACTGGACGCGACAAAGCGACCGTTGAAAATCATTTCAATCATTTGTGTCAATACTTCATAAATAGAACGCAGCAGCAGATTTCTGTCGGGGATTTGTATCGTGCCGTGCCGCATCCAGTGTAGACCATAGATATGTACAGTGCCGTGAAAAGGTTTTTGCCCCCTTCCCGGGTTTTTTTTTTTTTGCATATTTGTCACACTTAAAAGATTCAGATCATCAAACCAATTTTAATATTACACAAAGATAATGTAAGTAAATACAAAATGCAGTTTTTAAATGATAATTTCATTTATTAAGGGAAAAAAGCCGTCCAAACCTACCTGGCCCTATGTGAAAAATTAATTGCCCCTCCTCTTAAATCATGAAAGAACTGTGATTAACCTCATTATTTTAGAAAGCTGAGTTAAATATCACTAGTCACACCCAGGCCTGATTACCGACAGACCTGTTGAATCTAGAAATAACTTAAATAGAACTTGTCTGATAAAGTGAAGCATGCTTAAAGAGCAACACATCATGCCGTGATCTAAAGAAATTCAAGAACATATGAGAAACAAAATAGTTGACATGTATCGGTCTGGAAAGGATTATAAAGCCATTTCTAAGGCTTTGGGACTTCAGGGAACCACAGTGAGAGCCATTATCCACAAATGGAGAAAACTTGGACCAGTGGTGAAACCAAAAAAAAAACGAAAATTCTGGCCTACCAAAATTATTCCAAGAGCGCAACGACGATTCATCCAAGTGGTCATAAAAGAACCCAAAACAACATCTAAAGAACTGCAGGCCTCACTTGCCTCAATTAAGGTCAGTGTTCATGATTCAACAATAAGAAAGAGACTGGGCAAAAACAGCATCCATGGGAGAGTTCCAAGGCAAAAGCCATTGCTGACCAAAAAGAACACAAAGGCTTGTCTCACATTTGCCAAAAAATATCTTGTTTATCCCCAAGACTTTTGGGCAAATATTCTGTGGACTGATGAGACAAAAGTTGAACTTTTTGGAAGATGTGTGTTTCGTTACATCGGGCGTAAAACCAACACAGCATTTCATAAAAAGAACATCATACCAACAGTCAAACATGGTGGTGGTAGTGTGATGGTCTGGGGCTCAATCTGAGAAGCAAGTTAATTTCCCTCAAACTGCTGATGGGAATCCCTAAACACATATAGACAAAATAAACACAAATCAAGGTTTCTACAGATGTCAAATGTGGTTCAGGTCTTTACCTGAGTGCTGTCATTATGATTGTCAGTTGATTATATTAAATCAAGCTGGAACAAAAAGCACCATAAAAGAAATCCATATGACTTGTGTGCTATATTCCAAATATTCTTGAGTTATGTGATAGTTTTGTGTGTGGACACACATTTAATATATTGAATATCTTGCCTTTAGTCCTGACTATCAATCTTTCATTCACACTTTCACATTAAACACTCTCCTCCATGTTATTAACCCAAAAAAGTTGGCAGTGATCAAAACCTTTACCCATAGAGCTTGATCCTGGAGAATTAATTAATTATTTCAAATCTTCCATTTATATCGAAAGTATTAGAAAAAGTAGTGGTGTCACTCAACTGTTTATTTTTGCAGAGAAACAGTTTCATTGGAGCATTTTAGTAAGGATCCAGGCCTTATCGTAGTACAGTGACTGTGTTTTTTAAAGTTACAAACGGCCTGCACTTATCATCTGACCAAAGCTGCATCTCCGTTCTAGTACTGCTAGATCTTAGTACTGCCGTTAACATCATACACCACAACATTTTGTCTTGAGAATTATGTTGGCACAGATCCTACCTATCTGATCAATACCAGTTTGTTTGTGCTAACAAAGAAATGTCAGAACAAGCACAGGTTAAGTATGGAGTGCCACAAGGATTGGTATTAGGTCCACTGCTTTTTTCATTGTATGCACTTCTCCTGAGGGAGATTATCAGGAAACATGGAATCACCTGTAAACAAGAGATGCTAGAATATTTATTATTAATATTTTTAAGTAATGTTATTGTCTCTACACTGGCTACCTCCCTCTCAGATGGAGCATCAACTTTAAGAAAATTACGTACAAAGCCTTGAATGGCCTAGTTTCGCAGTACTTTACACAATCTTCTATCATGATATAATCCTTTGCATGATATAATCCATCGTAATCACTACAGGTGCAAAATTCCGGCTTGTTGATAGTACGCTAGGTGCCGCCGCCTTGGTCAGTTTCACTTCCTTCACTAAACGTCTACAATCACAACCGGAGCCACGTGACTGCTGTAACTCAATGATTCATTTTCTGCACCCCTCTTTAACCTCATGAAGGACCCAAACTGTCACTATGTCTGCCTAATCTGTAAATCCGGGACAAAACTCAAAGAAAGTTTAATTTTCATAGTCTGAACAATATAGTGTACAGCCAGAGTTTTTTGTTCCTTGCCACGGTCACCTCTGGCCTGCTCACTGAGGGATTAAAGACTGAAATACTACTACAGCTCCATGATAAAAATACTTCAACCTCTAATCTTATACCAAGAAATTTGTTATTTCCTATTACAGTAATGAGAGATATCACCTAGTAATCCACTCTGTAATGCTGCTTTGAAGCTGTGTAATGTCAAAAGGTGCTATACAAATAAACCTGAATGACTTGAGTACATGTAAGTACCACTTAAGTTTTGGTGTGTAACGGAGGCCGGCAAGTAAGAGCTGTGCAGGTAAACCTCAGTTTCTCTCTCCTTTTCCCTATTTGGACAAAATTACTTTCAGATGAATGCAACTTTATCTTTAAAGTGACGTGACATGTGGCCAAGTATTACCCATACTAGGAATTAGCGCTCTGCATTTAACCCAGCCATATATGCTGCGGCGCCCGGGGAGCAGTTGGGGGTTCGGTGCCTTGCTCAAGGGCCCCTCAGTCGTGGTATTGAAGGTGGAAGAGAGCGCTGTACATTCACTCCCCCACCTACAATTCCTGCCGGACCAGAGACTCGAACTCACAACCTTTGGGTCTAACCATTAGGCCACGTCTTCCCATTTAAAATTTTTTTTTTTAAATTAAAGTGACGTGACATGTGGCCAAGTATTACCCAACAAACAAAAAGCAAACTTTTCAGTGAACAGCAACTGTCACAGGTGGAAAAGAGCGGTAAACATGACTTGATTTTCATTTGGAGATGCAACTGACCATCTTTCTCTTTATCCATTCGCACTTTCTTCAGGGCAACAATTTCATTTGTCCTTGTATCACGTGCTCGGTCTGTAAAACCACAAATCAATTGATCAAGAGATTTCAATCTGGTCAGATAGCACAACTGTTTGATAATAAGGCTATTTATGGATGACACAACACGGATATGAATATAGATGGGATTCTATTTAATATATGTGATATATTTGCATTATCAGTCATTCTGTGAGACTCACACACGATGCCATAAGTTCCCTCTCCAATCCGGTTCATCTTCTCAAACTCCTTCACACTCCTGCATTTCCCCAACTACACACATCATGCAGAAACACCGCAATAAATGCCTATGTATCTCTTGTTTTGTATACATATAGAAAAACGTTTATAAGCCAGTAACGTTATGTCTCACCCGTTCTCTGTGCGGTATTACAAACGTCTTGTCGGTTTTTAAAGATTTCAGCTTTAACGGCTCTAGATCTGTCTCTGATGTGTTTTCCATCTCCGATCACTCCACATTCGCCTGGGTCAATGATTACTGTAACACATATAGCAATTTAATGTTGCATGACTGTACGTTGCGTGTAAAGAGCAGCAAACCTAGAGCCAAGAGGAAGAGAAACTCCGTGAAAGCTTACAGTCGCTCGTTTGAACATTTATATGGACAACTGTCAGCGTTCAATGAGTTTCTCATCTAGCACAACATCAAGCGAATGGTTTTCACAAATGCAAGACTGCTAATTGGCGATAATAAAGCAAATCAGGCTTTGATTTAAAGTGATAAACTCATTTGTACTTTATCTATTTTTACCAACCCAGTCTCGGAGCCTGTCATTTTCAAACAAACACTCAAACAACGCTGTCACGTGGTTACTTGTTACTTTTTGTCACCAAAAAAAAAAAAAAAAAAAAAAAAAAAACACAGGAGAAAAGTCTCTCAGAGGAGTGACCATAATTAACATTATCCGTTCATACCGGTGTAAATCAGGCTGTGCCCGTGACAAAACGACCTCGACCAACATACACGGGACCTCCCACGGGCCGCGGCTCGTTATTAGCGTCCGCTATCTTCAGACACACGGGCGTCTCTAAGAGGTTTTCTCGAGACGGAGCTGTGATGATGATCAGCGGCACAGCAGAGTTATTAAACAGTGAAGGTGGTGATGAGGAAGATGAGGATGAATCGGTGCTAAGAGACTGCTCCTCTACTGTGGAAGTTAAAAAAGTAAAAGCATGTGAATACAGTGGCAGTGTCATACATGTACATACATTTTTATATAATAATTATATATAATAATATATATGACATTTTATAGAGGGGGGGGGGGGTTAATTTGCACACGACTTATTTTGTACAAATAAATATAGCGCTGATAATTGTATTGAACTGATTCACCATTATGTAATGACAATATTTTATATTATAATTGACATTATTTTACCATAATGTAAAACAAATAGCCTATGCTGCAATGAAAACGGACAGGGCATTTTTTTACTTTCATCTGTGAACTGTTTCGTATGTTTGTTTAGCGTTTCTCTAAAAAACACTGAATAAATGCACTCTCCTTCAAACTGGATTACAGGACGGTTTACGTCAGAAGAATTAATGCCCCTCAGAACCTAATTAATCCCCACACAGAACGACAGACGGACAGTCTGACAAAACTGCATATAGTTGAAATTATGTTCATATTCATATTCATATTTAATTAATGTCTGAATGGAGGCAAATTGTCCTTACCGTTAGTTTCTTAGAAACATAAAGCAGATACAATTATTTTACCTGGGAGAACCTGCTTTCTCGGTGCAGAGCCCATTCCCCATCACGCAATGAAATGAATCTCTCAGTAATTAATTTGTTGCTCCGAGTGAATAATTCTTCTTCTGAGCAGAAAGGACCGCCCTGATCACAGTCCTGATTCAATGTCAGTATCGCACACACTGCAAATCCACCATCTAACCACAAGAAGCCACATCGCCACTCTGATGTGAACTTTTTTTTTTTTTTAATAGGCTTAGGAACAGAGAACCTAGCCTATTCTTATTCTTGGTCAGGAATTTGGCTCCGTTAAAGGTTATCTAACGTGCATTTTCCCCGAAACATTGGCTACGGAATACAGGCTACTAAATACACTGAATCTCCTGCAGTACGCAATACTTGTTCACCGGCAAGCACCACACAACACCGTCTGAGTCTGACTCTGACCAGTGTGATCCACGCACGAAAGACTCTTATGATGAGCCGGTTCTTTTTTAATGAATAACACTAGCGCAACCCACTGATGTGGCGCAACCAGGCTCGTACGATTCCCAAGTGAATGACTCGGGTTTTTTTTAGTGAATCAAACACAAACAGCTCACTGTTTATATTTACTATTTCACTATTTATAATAGCTGTTATAACTATTAATAAATTCCGATGCCTTAACTTATGCGAAGTAGTTATTCCTATAAAGTTTATATTTTCCATAGAAAGCATAGTCAGCACAGCTTCACCGAGAAACAGAAATCAATAAACACACCGTTCTTCCTCTGCTTTCTCATCCTATTAAAGTAAAGTAAAATTAAAGTAAAGATAAAAAAAGTTTAAGACTTAATATTTACATAATCAGTAAGCTCAGACATCCTACAGCAATTATTTCGAGTCGATCAAATCTGGATCAGTTCCTTTTCGAACGGTCTCTCCCATTGCGTCGCTGACACTTATGGGGAAACTCCTGTTTACTCTGATACTGACAGGGGCGGACTTATGGCGCTTTTCCACTGCATGGCACGGTACGGTTCACTTTTGGGGGGTTTTCCACTGGGTACAGTACCTGGTACCTGGTCATTTTTGTAGTACCACTTCGGTTGGGGTTCCAAGTGAACCGTACCGTTACCAAAACGTGACGTGTAAACTCTGCTGATCATGGACTGGCCGGAGAGAATCGTCACTACCTGCGTCACTGAACTTGCGACACAAACACAAAAGAACCGCTAGATTTAAATCAGCACAGCCAGCGAAGAACCGGACGCAACTGTTTTGAACGAGCGCACCTTTTTTTAACAACCAAAAAGTTTTGTTGTCTGTTGCGGAAGTACAGACATTCCTCTCGTTGATAGCAGAGGAGCGGATCCAGCGAGAGCTTGATGGGGCGATGCGGAATGAAAAAGTTTTTTTTAGGAGTCGTGGTAGTAGAGGCGGCGCAACTATAATGACATGTGAATAATCCCGCCCACTCTAAAGTGGTACTGAACTGCAGTGGAAACGCAAACCGTGCCGAGCCGAGCCATTAGTGATTTGGGGGCCCTAAGCAAATTCCCAGGTATGGGGCCCCAACCCAATAACTATGTGCTCTTTAAAGAGAGAGCAAGCAAAATATGGGATAAGTGTAAATTTACACTTATCCCATATTTTGCTTGCTCTCTCTTTCATACACTCTAAAAATACTGGGTTGTTTCAACCCAACTTTGGGTCAAATAGGGACTAACCCAACTTTTGGGTTAAAATTTTAATTAAAAAAATTTACCCAACGGTTGGTTTAGTCCATATTTGACCCAAAGTTGGGTTGAAACAACCCAGCATTTTTAAGAGTGTAGTTTATCGTTTATTTACCCCTTCAGAACTTGTCGATTGGATAAATTCAGTAAACAATTAGTCAACCTGATGCTGCTCTAAAGCCATATTACCTTACTTTTTTTGGATGACAAAAGCAGACATAAAAAAAAAAACAATAT